TTCTGTTGTCCGTCCCTCAGGGAGGAGGTTATATGTAGATCCTTGTAATCAGTTCTCCCTTTTCAACCCACCCTCCCTCCACTCTCCTGGTATCACCACTCTCACCACTGGTCCTGAAGGGATCATCTAGGACTGTAAATCTTTACAGGAACATTCTCATCTTTTTCTTGTGGAAAAACTGAGTTTGGCCACTGATCTTGTCGTTATCAACTCAATGCCTTGCACAGTGCCACTAGGTTTTGTCTAGTAATGGCATATTTCCAAGGTTTCTGTTTGTTTGGAAATGTCTTGATTTCCACCTAAATTTTGAGTTGCAATTTTGTTGAATAAAGTATTCCTTGTCAGCAAAAAAAAAAAAAAGATGAGGGGGTCAGGGTCCAGAGATGTAAAACCTCACTGAAGGTCACCAGAGCAGTTAGGAGCTGAGCTGGACATCACCCACCTGGGACCCAGTTCCCAGATGTTGCTTCCCGTTGTGTAGTGCTCTAGTGCTGCGATCACAGAAGCACTTCAAGGGGATGACGTTCAAGAACAGAGACTCAAATTGTCACACCTCTGGAGACCCAAAACCGGGTCTCAGCCCAGGAGATGACAAGCAAGGTCCAAAAAATAAATGAGTGTGCATAAAGGGGACACACACACGCTCACCAGAAACTAGTAACAGCAGCCTGCTCTGGGGTGAGGCTAGACGACAGGAGTGGTGAACAGACACCCACCCACAGCCACACCCACACACGGATAATGCACACATACATATATGGAAAAGCAAAGGGATTGGAAGGGCATGGGCATACACATGCATATGTTTCCATACCCTGCTTGATTTATGCCCCAAGGGGCTCATTTAGGACAATTGCTTTTCACTGAACATCTTTTTCTACGGGTTAATTTTGTTACTGTGTGCCCATTAAACCTATTTCAAACAAGTCAATACAAGTTACGGATGCCACGGAATGTCTGGGTCCCTAAGGAAGCTGCAGGGAGCGCCATTGCTCCATCTGCTCCCTCGGTGGATCTGCTTTGGCCACTGGAGGAACAGCACCGGCATCTTTCATGGGGCTGCAATTCATCTGGTTTTTCTGCTCCACTGGAGCGCAGGCAGCCAGACGGTGGCTGCGGATCTCCCTGGGGAAGTGCACTTTCTCTTGCATAAGAAGAGGGACGTGATACCACATGGCCTTCGTTTCCTGTCACTGGAGTGAAGGATTAGGAGAGGGGATCCTGGTAGCCGACATCCTCCCTCTCGGCACCGGTAATAGTGCAGGATGGTACTTTCTCGCCCCCTTATTGTTATATGCTGTCCAGAAAACCCTGTGTGTCGAAGAAAGAAACCCTGTCCGACCTTCATCTCCCTCACAGAGGTCAAGTTTGAGTCCACTGTTGCAGCCGCGTGCCCATCTGGCTCCTCTAGAGCCTTCCTCTTTGTCGCTGGCCCACTACTTTACCAGTCCTTCTCCAGGGACTCGTCAATCCCCGCAACATGCTCAATGCATGTAAGACGAAGTCTTTTCTTCCCCTCCTCTAAGGAGCATTCTGGTTGTACTGTATTGCTTTCAAGACAGCTGCTTCTGGCAGTCAATGGGACCTTCAACATTCTTCTCCAGCATCATTCATCTAGTATCCAAACATGTGCAAGTCTCAGTTATGAGGTTTGTTTACCCCTTATTGCTTTTACTTGTAAAGATAAAAGGCATTGCTTCTGTGATTTGTACAAAGTTGAGGGCTTTATTAGGAGTGAGGACATTTAAAAAAAATCTCTATCTAGGTGAGATAGTTAAAGTTTATTGTGCCAACCTGGCTGATAAACACATGTGGGATTAATTGAAGGGGCTCGGTGAGCCTTGCCTTTCTAGTCTCGGGTCTCTTGCTTTGTGATGGTCGAACCAGGGTGCAGCTGCCTTAGCCAGTTCCCTGCTTTAGCTGG